GGCTGAAGTGGTAGAGCACTAGCCTTGAGCTGAAGAGCTGAAGGACAGTGCCCAGGCCCAGAGTTCAGGGCCCATGACCAACCAAAAAAAAAAAAAAAAAAAATCCTCCGATAGTACATTATTCCTGATACTGTAAAATACTGATACTGTGCAATATGAATGCTAATGTTAGCACAGTGCAAAATGAAAAAAAAAGAAGATTCTGCCCTAAAGTAGGCCTTCATAAATCTTCAAAGATGTCTTCTTTAATCAGGTATGTATGTAATGTTTTATGCACACAGAAAACCAAGTAGGGCAGCAAAATAGTAGACATTCTAAAAATTATAATCATTAAGATGAACTTGATAGTCAAGAAAGGCAACTAGTCACTTCCGGAGAATACTAGTAAATCTGGTCATTATTCTAAAAACGAACAAAGAGAATGCAGCCTGCCTTCCCTTTTAAGTAACTGTCATCAATAACTGATGACAGGACAATTTCTGTGTTTCAATAATAAATGAGAAAAAAATAGAATATTACAATTCTGTAAAGTGCTAATGAATTAATGCTCATAGGCAAAAATTATTAATAAATGCTATATTTATGAATTATTCTAACCTTCCATATTCCAAATCAAGTCTGAATCAATTAAGCCTCTATACCTACCAGTTTAAAAGCACCCAAACAGGGGCTGGGAAGGTGGCTCAGTGGTAGAGCGCTTGCCTTGCATGCATGAGGCCCTGGGTTCGATTCCTCAGCACCATATAAGCAAAAAGAAAAAAGCCGGAAGTGGCGCTGTGGCTCTAATGGTAGAGCGCTAGCCTTGAGCTGAAGAGCTGAGGGACAGCGTCCAGGCCCAGAGTTCAGGCCCCACGACCGGACCCAAAAAAAATAAATAAATAAAAAACAAAAGCACCCAAACAGTTGAGTACAAGTGGCTCACACCTGTAATCCTAGCTACTCAGGAGGCTGAAATCTGAGGATCAAGGTTCAAAGTCAGGCCAAGCAGGAAAGTCTGAGGAGACTTTTTTTTTTTTTTTGGTCAGTCATGAGGCTTGAACTCTGGGCCTAGGTGCTGTCCCTGAGCTCTTCAGCTCAAGGCTATTGCTGCACCACTTGAGCCATAGCGCCACTTCCAGTTTTTCTGGTGGTTATTTGGAGATGTGTCTCATGGACATTCCTTGCCCAGGCTGACTTTAAACTGTGATCCTCAGCACTCAGCCTCCTGAGTAGCTAGGTGGTGTGAGCCACCAGAGTCTGGCTTACCTGAGACTCTTATCTCCAATTAATCACCAAAAAGTTAGAAGGGAGATGTGGTTCAAGTGGTAAGCATTAGCACTGAGCACAAAAGCTCAGTGACAGTGCTCAGGATCTGAATTTAAGCCCCAGGACCAGCACACCAAAAAACACCAAAAGAGAAAAACACTTAAATAAAATAAACGGAAATAATCTAGTAAAACTCAGATTACAGAAAATTCTAAAGTGAAGACTGGTTTTCTCAACAACAACAAAAAAGAACATGCGAGAGAAATACGATAAAAGGGAACCTATGGTTCACATTTATTATCCTAGCTGTTCAAGAGGCTGAACTGATGATTAAGGTAGACAGCCCAAACAGAAAAATTGAGAAGACTATCAATATCTCCAACTAACCTGCAAAAAGCCAGAAATTGACGTGTGACTTATAGAGCACCAGCCATGATGAAGGTGGGAGAGGAAGAGAGGCCTGGAGTTCAAATACCAGTACCTGCTAAAATACAATGTATACATACTCTGTTTAAAAACTGACTCAAACAGTGGAAAAAAAACAATAGCAGGGTCAAAATTGTGTATAAACTCACAAAGAAGTCTGAAAAGTTCTTACAAATAATTTATAGAAAAAATAATTAAAAGAAAATACAAACAGTCCAAAAGCTATCTTAAAATTCATCAAAAGAGGGAGGAAGAATAATAATTAGGGAGATGAATTTGATCAGGGTACATTTTATACATGTATGAAAATATCACAAATAAAATCCCATTTTACAACTTTTTTAATGTTTAAAAAAATAAAAATATCTGCCGGGCACAGGTGAATCACGCCTATAATCCTAGCTCCTCAGGAGGCTATTATCTGAGGACTGCAGTGCAAAGCCAGCCCAGGCAGGAAAGTCTGTGAAACTCTTCAATTAATCTCCAGAAAACCAGAAGTGGTGCCATAGCTCAAGTGGTGAGTGCCTTAGACAGTGCCCAAGCTCAGAGTTCAAGCCCCATGACCAAATAAATAAATAAATAAATCTATCTTAAAACTATGTCAGATGAAGCCAGGTGCTGGAGGCTCACGCCTGTAATCCTAGCTACTCAGGAGGCTGAGATCTGAGGATCATGGTTCAAAGCCAGCCAGGGCAGGAAAGACGGTGAGACTCTTGTCTCCAATAAACCACCAGAAAACCGGAAGTGGCACTGTAGCTCAAGTGGTAGAGCATACGCCTTGAGCTGAAGAGCTGACGGACAGCGCCCAAGCCAAGAGTTCAAGCCCCATGACCGACAAAAAAAAAAAATATGTCAGGTGAAGGAGTGAGGGGGTAGGGAAGTAGGGTAGTTTTAGATACCAAGTGCTAGAGTAGTAGGATTAGGCTAGAAAGTCCAGAGACCAGTTGTTTATGTGGCAATCATCCAGACTCAGAAGAGTTATTTTTATTTGATAGGTACCTGAGTCAAGAAGTCTGTAGAAGAGAAGGTTATTATCTAATTAGTATATACTATCTATGAACTAATGAAACACTAAAATCATTATCTAAAATAAATCATGTAAGTACATAAATGTTTTCATCTTAAATTTAAAAAAAGAATTTATCTTCCTGTCCAAAAGACAGTCCTGACTACAGGAGTTACAGATGTAGTTCTTAGCACATTCAAGAGCTGATGTGACTCCCAAGCATCACATAGAAATTAATTATTTAAAAAAACTAAAACCTTCATGCAATGGGCCTTCATTATTTAGAATAATGTTTCAAAATAAAGATTCATATTTATTTAAAACTCAGTAAGAATTAAATTCAATGTGTACCAATAAACTATCTTCTTTTCAATAGGCACTGTTACTTTAATAAAAAATTAAATCTACCTAGAAACATAACGTAATGTAATTTCATTTACTAAGTGAAAGTAGTTTTAGGGTATCATTTAATAAATCATTCTCAAATTATTGAACACGCACTAAAATTTCATTTTAATTGTTGGTTAATGCATGCTAGTGACTTTTCAAGTGTCTGGTAAACTGGATTCCTTCTTTATTTAAAGAGCTATTTTTAAAAAGATGTTTCTGGTATTAAATTACACAAGACTAAAAGCAATTTTAAAAATCCATATTAAATATTTCATGGTATAATTCCTTTGGTAATTATAAAAGCTATCAAACCCAGGAAGCAAAAGAATATTCATTCCAGGGTGACCTCTAAAAATCAATAGTACAGATAAATGAGATTATTGTTAAAGAATAATTTGCTTTTGTTTAAACAGCTGAAAGTATTAAAAAAGGAAGACAGACAGACAGAAAGAAAGAAAGAAAATGGAGCCTGAAGGGATGATGCCAAAATAGAGTCTGACAAGCACTTGACCACACAGACCTAAGTTAACTTTAGTAGATGAAGGGTGTTCCTCTGACTCCTGCCAGTACTTTCAAAGTAGTACTATAGCTCCCCACTTAAAAAGCATGTTTTTAAGTACTACCCTTTTCAAAAACCTAAAATCAAACCTACCATGTTAAAAAACTCATAAAAGAAGAAATTTACTTCTAAATAACAAAAACAAAAAATTTTAACAGTCAGGCTCCATTGAGTTCTAGGCTCATTCTTCTATCAGTTTTCTCATCAGTAAGAATTGTAATTACAATATACACAGAACTACTAGTGAAGGGTCAATGAAATAAAGCTCTTTAAGTGGTTAACACAGTGTAGTAAGCACCTTAACAACTTTCATATGCAATTTAAAAGATTAATGAGAAAAGGGTTCAATGAAGCAGGGTGCCGGTGGCTCATGCCTGTAATACTAGCTACTCAGGAGGCTGAGATCTGAGGATCAAGGTTCAAAGCCTGCCTGGGCAGGAAAGTCCTTTAGACTCCAACTAACGGAAAACTGGACGTGGCACTGTGGCTCAAAAGGGTAGAGTGCTACCCTTGAGCAAAAGAGCTAGTGAACACAGTCCAAGCCCTGAGTTCAAGCCCCATGACCAACTAAAAAAGCCAAAAAGTGTTCAATGACCTTTCTCACAAAAATGTTTACTACCAGCCGGGCGCTGGTGGCTCACGCCTGTAATCCTAGCTACTCAGGAGGCTGAGATCTGAGGATCGCGGTTCAAAGCCAGCGAGACTCCTATCTCCAATAAACCACCAGAAAACCGGAAGTGGCGCTGTAGCTCAGGTGGTAGAGCGCTCGCCTTGAGCTGAAGAGCTGAGGGACAGCTCCCAGGCCCAGAGTTCAAGCCCCACGACCGACAAAAAAAAAAAAAAATGTTTACTACCCCCACTTAGAGGAGAAAATAACAGCAAGGAATTTTATTTAGGACATGCTATTTTTACTTACATAATTTTGAGATTAAAGTATCAAAAAACATACAATAAATTTTTTAATAGTGTGCCAATATTGTGTATATAATCAAACATGAAAAAGTAGGAAACAGGTCTGGTAATGTGGCTTAGTGGTAGAGTGTTTGCCTTACTGGCCTGAAGCCCTGGATTCATTTCCTCAGTGCCACATAAACTGAAAAGGACAGAAGTGGTGCTGTCGCTCAAGTGGTAGAGTGCCAGCCTTAAGCACAAAAAGTTCAGGAGTAGAGCCTGGGCCCTGAGTTCAAGCCCCAGAACAAGAACTCAGGAACACACACACAATAGTTGGAACAGAATATTCCTTACATGTTCTTAAGTTTGGGACTGTTAGTACGAATACATTATTATCCACTGAGTAAAGAGATAATAAGAATAGGCACAACATCTTATAATCAAGTAATTTAAAGCACAGAAATAAAAAAGGAAAGCAGTTACCTTCGTACAATAAAGCATCCAAAGTTCAAAGAGCCTCTCTCTGGATGCCATTGTGGCTTTCACTCTGGCACTTTAATTTTTCCTCAAAAAAATTATGTTCAAGACCACAGCACGTTCATTTTATTTTCCAAGTTTTTCAGCCATTACAGTAAAGCTCAAAGCAGTAGGGAAAACAAAAATTAGTGAACCAAATGGACTGTCTCTGGCCAATAAAGGGGAGTTCTGGCAGTCACTCCAGCACATACACAGATATATCTTCATCAGTGGTTGATAGGAAATAAATCTGTGAAAAAGAAAAATACCCAAAGATTTGTTCAGATAAGAGGTCACATTAGAAATATCTATACTTATCAGAAACTAGAGATTTGTCCTTTTTTCACTCGCTTTAACTCCAACAGTATAAACTTTTCCACTGATTGCAGTTTATAGCTTATGTTTCAGGAAAACATGGGTACCAACACGATACGCAACATCAATATAAAGTCCTAGAACTTTCTTGGGCAGATCCACAACCAAAAAAAAAAAGAAAGAAATGCATGAAGTGAAAACAAAGAGCAACAACTCCTTTCCCACTCACATATTTTTCTATAAACGAAGGGCACGGTATTTCCAAGACATACTTCAAACACATGAAATGTCTTAGAATGTTCTCGTCTGCTATTGCTATTTAAAAGTGGAGGGTAGGCTGCTGCCTGGCAGGGCGGGGCGGGGCGGGGAGGCGCGAGGAATTCCTGGTCTGTTTGTTTTCGCAGTCCAGAGAGCTGGAAGGCAACCTGCCCACCTGACCTCCCTACCTGCCTTCAAGCTCCAGGAAGAAGACATCCCAGAAGAGCCTGCGCAAGCCGAGGCCAACTTTTACAGGTGCCAGAAGCTGACGAGAAAAACTTTAGCAATGGGGCGAGGTCGCTGACCAGACCGCGGCGAGACACGCCCGGGACCGCCTCGCCCCTTCCCCGCCGCCCCTCACGCCACAGCCCCGCGGCCCACCGAGCAGCCAGGCCCTCCCGCGCCGGGGCTCCCCCGCTCCGGGGCTCCCCCGCTCCGGGGCTCCCCCGCTCCGGGGCTCCCCCGCTCCGGGCCACGCGGCGCTTCCTCCGCCCGGCCGCCCCCTTCCCCTCACCGAGCTCACATAGGGGGCCGCCGCCGCCGCCGCCCTGCGGGCTACTTGCCGCCCTCACCCCTTCCCAAGGCACAGCTCCGTGTCACCTCACAGCCTGCCGGGCGGGGCACGGGGGCGGGGCGGCCGGCTCCAGGCGGGGCGCGAGAGTGGGAGGAGCCAGAGGCGGGGCGGCTAATCATTCCGCCGACGATTTACTGCGGCCTCCGGCAGCGTTTCTTCAGTGGTCCAGCTTGAGGGGCGGGGACGGGGTGAGCAGAAGCCCCGCCCCACCGAATACCTGCGCAGCCGCAGTCAGCTGGCCGACCTCGCCAGGATTCTTCTCCCGGATCTGGGGTTCTCGGGGCTGGACGTGAGGACTGACGTGCTGACGTAGCATCCAGCCCCGCCTCTGCTAGGTAGGGCAGTCGGTGCTACAGGCTGGTTACGTCATTTCCGCGAATCAGCTGAGGGTAGGGAGTCCCGCGGTCCTGACTGGAGAAGGTTACTTTTAGAGTACTTCGTAGTAGTGGGGTTGGTTGTGGGGCTTATACTAATGTAAAAAGACAACACAGCCCCTGAGGAAAACCCTGTCGCCTGGTTGTGTTTGTGCCTCATATTTTCCAATCGCCCATCATTTATGGAAGACATCTTCGAACGTGCTTTGAGCTTTCAGGATGGGGCAGTCAGCCGCATTTATTAGCTCCACGGGAGTTGCAGGGGGGTTGTTGTCCTTAATGGCGAGAGAGCACCTTTTAAACCTAATTGTGTTTGGAATTTTGTATTGTGAAGATATCGAGCATTTACGAAAGTGGCATAAAGTAATAAATAATAGTTTATTACTAGTCTGGGAGGGTGGCTCAGTGGTAGAGTGCTTGCCTTGCATGCATGAGGCCCTGGGTTCAATTCTTCAGAAAAAAAGCCTGAAGTGGTGCTGTGGCTCAAGTGATAGAATGCTAGCCTTGAGCTGAAGAGCTGAGGACAGCACCCAGGCCCAGAATTCAAGCCTCACCAAAAAAAAAGAAAGAAAAGAAAAAACTAATTTATTACCTTTAAACAAAGGTAGCATATGAACACATTCTTCTTGATTTTCTTGATAGTTTTTTCAGTACTGGGATTTGAACTCAGGGCCTCCTACTCAGACAAGCATGTTACCACTTGAACTATGCCTCCTAGAGCTGCTTTTCAGACTTCTTAAAATGCTATTGTGATTCAGGATGCCTGGGATTTAGTATATCAAGGGTCTACTAAGCTCCCAGATGATGCCAGTGCTGCTGACTCATAGCTCACACTTCAATCATAATTAGTAGAAATTGCATTAAGCTCGTGTGTATGTTTCTGTACATCCAATCCTAAGGTATGAACTCAGGGCTTGAGCACTATCCCTGAGCTTTTTTCAAGGCTAGAACATTACCGCTTGAGCCACAGCTCCTTTTCAGGCTTTCTGATACATAATTGGAGATAAAAGTCTTACAGACTTTATTACCCTAGATCACTTTCAATGGTGATTCTCAGATCTCAGCTCCTGAGGAGCTAGGAGAGCAGGCTTCAGCAGCCACCAACACTCAGCTGCAGTAAGCTCTGTTTTGGAGACAGTGCTACTGATTTTCATAGTTTTGTCTACCTATTCTCATATTCATTCACTTGTGACTAATGACACAGTGAAGAAATATAGTCTGTGACTATGACACAAAATCAAATCAATTGCAACATATAGTAGACACTGAGTCCTCACTGTAATCACAGCTAAAAAGAAATAACTACAACATGTGAGATGCTTATAGCCATCCCTACTGAGACTCAAGAATGTTAGCCATGAGGCTGGGAAGGTCGCTCAGTGGTAGAGTGCTTGCCTTGCATGAATGAGGCCCTGGGTTCAATTTCTCAGCACCACAGAAGCAAAAAGAAAAAAGCCGTAAGTGGCGCTGTGGCTCAAGTGGTAGAGCGCTAGCCTTGAGCTGAAGAGCTGAGGGACAGCACCCAGGCCCAGAGTTCAGGTCCCACGACCAGACCCAAAAAAAAAAAAAAAAAAGAATGTTAGCAAAAGCTCTGGTATCTACATCACTGGGGCAGGCCTTGGCTTTGCCACCAGAGGAGGAGAAAATAAGCACAGTTTTCCTATTTTCTCTAGGGAGTCTACGAGTGTTGGTGCCAGGTCCTTCTTCAGTTTTGTTGGTGAATCGAGTATAAGTTGAGAAGACTATCCTTAAATTCTTAATTCTCCTGCCTCAGCCTCCCAAATGCTGGAATTACAAAGTTGCACCACCATGCCCAGCTCTGACCTCTTTTGAGTCTGATAAATTCTGCCTCATTTAAGTAGCATGTAGGTGTCAGCAAGAATCCAACAGTCTTCCTCAGCTAAGGTTTCTGATTGTTTCCAAAAATAGAGATAAGTTTTGGTTTCGTAAATTGAACCTTCAACAACACTTGGACTTTTCTCCATTAGTGAAACGACAGCTACTTTTTCTCCTGATGTACCTCAGGTTAAATACATTTACTACCCAGAGGACACATTTTTGTAATAAGACTGTGAACCAGCAGCTTCTGATATAGTTTGAACTTTTATATATTGAAAGCATAATTTTGTCCTGATTTTTATGAAAAAAGTTTCAGATTAACTTATATGGTCCCTTCCTGAGTGCATTGGATGTTCCTGTGCTGAAGTAGCTTCTCAGATAATAGCAAGGTTAGAAAGTTCAGTTCACCACACTAAGTTTCAACTTACATCACACACAGCCTTACCATGCCACTAAATTATTAACAAAAAACACATTTGCCAAGGCAATGGTACTATTCCTATTATTTGCTCATATCTTTTGTTCCCATAAAAAATATTTAAGGAGGGCTGAGGATGTCATTCAATGGTCAAACACTTGACCTATGTGAAGCCATGAGATCTAGTCCTAGCACTGGGAATGGGGAGTGGGGGGAGAGAAAGAAATTACATAAGGAGATGAGTTTTAGGATTTTTGTTGTTTTTATTTTTGGTGAGTCGTGGGGCTTGAACTCTGGGCCTGGGCACTATCCCCGTGCTCTTCAGCTCAAGGCGACTGCTCTACCACTTGAGCCACAGCACCACTTCCGGCTTGGCTTTCTAATGGTTTACTGGAAATAAGAGTCTCACAGACTTTCCTGCCAGAGCTGGCTTTGAACTGTGATCCTCAGATCTCAGCCTTCTGACTAGCTAGGATTACAGGCCTGAGCCACTGCTTAGGAGATTAATTTTTTTTTTTTTGGGGGGGGGGTCCGGTCATGGGGCTTGAACTTTGGGCCTGGGCGCTATCCCTTAGCTCTTCAGCTCAAGGCTAGCGCTCTACCACTTGAGCCACAGCACCACTTCCGGCTTTTTTCTTTTTGCTTCTGTGGTGCTGAGAAATTGAACCCAGGGCCTCAGGCATGTAAGGCAAGCACTCTACCACTGAGCCACCTTCCCAGCCCTAGGAGATTAATTTTTAGGTTTACTTTTTTCATCATGATGCAGAATGAATAAAAATAATCACATGCAACCATTGCCACTCCAACTCGCCAAATGAAAAAGATACTCAAAGATAGATAGAAGATAGAACAATTTCTATAGGTGAAGGTAGAGACACATGACTAGATTTTATTCTTTTTTTAATTTTTATTTATTTTTTGGGGGGGTCCAGTTGTGGGGGCTGTACTTTGGGCCTGGACACTGTCCTTCAGCTCTTCAGCTCAAGGCTAGCACTCTACCACTTGAGCCACAGTGCCACTTCTGGCTTTTTTCCTTTTGCTTATGTGTGGCTGAGGAATCGAACCCAGGGCCTCATGCATGCAAGTCAAGCGCTCTACCAGTGAGCCACCTTCCCAGCCCCTAGATTTTATTCTTTAAGCTACCTTTTCCTAAATCCTATCTTTGTTCCCTGAGGACCTTGGCGGGTAAATTTTTCTTGGATGTTCTCTTTTACTCTTTGTTTTTCCATTTTGTTTTTCCGTTTCTATGGCCATATTCTCAAATTGAGAAATTTTTTCCTCAGCCTCTAAAGTGTACTGAGTCCATATTCCTACTTCTTCTACTAATGAGTCCATCTTTTACTAATAAGCATTCTTCATTTTTGGCCTAGCATTTCTTTGATTCTTAGATTTTCCATGCTTCTGCTCACACACTGTCCAGGTTTTTGCATGCTACGTACTTTATCCTTTAAAACCCTGAGCAAAATCATAGTTGTTATTGTTGTTGTTTAAATCACATTTTGTAATCCCAGCTACTCAGGAGGAGAGACTAGGTCACGCCTTGGAAAAAAGTTAGCAAGACCTTATCTCAACAATCAAGCTCTGTGTACATGCTTGTGATACCACCTACACAAAAGGAATAGGTAGGAGGATGGCAGTCCCAGAATACTCTGGGCAAAAAGAGACTGCATCTGAAAACTAAAAAGTAAGAATGGCCAGAAGTGTGGTTCAAGTGGTAGAATACTTGCCTAACAAGCACAAAATCCTGAATTCAAATGTAAGGACCACAAAAAAATCCAGTCTGATAATTCTTTCATCCCTTTCATATGTGTATATGTTCTGGATCCTAGTCCCGTCTCTTCAAATTGTGATTTTTTTCCTTCTTATGTGGTTTCTAGTTTTATTCTTAACATGATGTATGAATAAATACAGCTTGAAGACATAGGCATTTAGAAATGTGCTAGTAGTGTCAGGAGATGGAAACGCTTGTTACAGTTTTATCATTGGTTATTGGATTTCAGAGGTGTTTGTTTGTTTTTTGATCAGTCATGGGGCTTGAACTCAAGGGCCTGGGAGGGGTCCCTGAGCTCTTTTGCTCAAGACTGGCTCTCTACCACTTTGAGCCACAGCGACATTTCTGGTTTTCTGGTGGTTAATTGGAGATAAGAATCTCAAAGACTTTCCTACCTGGGCTGGCTTTGAACCACGATCCTCAGGTTTCAGCCTCCTGAGTAGCTAAGATTACAGGTGTGAGCCACTAGTTCCTGGTGTATCTTAGTCTTTTAGTGAGTCTGTGCCTTTGAACTATGAATTCACAAGTATTTCTGTTTTCCCACACTTTGGGTGAGGAAGAATGACCAGCACAGAATGGAGTTAGCTTTTTCCTTCTCTTACATGGCTAGAGCTGAATAGTATTTGGTATTTCCC